TAGCCTGAGCTTCTTACTCCCATCTTATGTTGCTATTGCTATAGTTGGTCGCTGTGGTCTAAACCTTTATTTACAACTATACTAAATTAATTCAACGAAGTATTGTTGATTATCCGATGTTGAGATATATTCAGGGCTCAACAAGCAAAGTTGCATAAAGGTATAATAAATAATAACCATGCTTATCGAGGTTCGATGCCGATATCACCAATCGATGTGCAACATAAGGCTATAAGTTGCAGAAACATAAAGTTTTGATTTAACAGTGGTTTTAACATATTTACTTATATTTTGAACCGTTGTTCATCATTGATTTTTTTAATATGGATAACTTACGTAATTTTTTTTTGTCTATAAAAATGTATTTGCGTCTGTGAACTTATTGTTGATAATCAGCAAATGTGATGGCGTTACATGAAATAATGACATGACAGGCATGGAGAAGGAAAATACTCAGCAGTATCACTTCTCTAACTTGTTCCAATTACTTAGATTGTTTAAGGAAGGAGATCTCTCATTCAACTTCTTTTTAGTCTCCTCCTCATGTTCTGAGGTATGTCAGCTTTGGCCATGTCTCTTATTAGTCTGTTATTATGTCCGTTTAAATTAGTGTAAAATCGTTGATAAAGGGTCGTTATATGTTGGTCAACTGTTAGAAGGTGGAGGTCGGTATGTAGAGTTTTGTTAGTCACGTACAAAGGTGCTTTTGTTATGAGTTGCAATAATTTTGATTGGAACGTTTGAAGTTTTGTAGGTGGGTAGAAAGCCTTGTTAGCGATGCCGTGTATTTGTGATGAGTACGTCCATATAGATTTAAGTATGTATATGTAATCAGTTCCTGATTTAGTTTTAATTTTGAAGATTTAGAAAAAAGAGAGCAGTTTGAGCAGTTTGAGTCGTTTCTTGTTAAACGTTTCATTTTAACATGCGGACCCCATGTCATCCTTCTGTAATTGAAATATAATCATGTAGTTTATTATTAAGTTATTAAAACTATTTGGTGAAGGAATGCTTTGTTCGCTAAGCAGTTTTTACTTCACGAAAATGGATATTTGGCTTTTCTAAAAATTTATTGATAGCAACTGGAGAAATTCTTAATCATGTTTTCTAAAATTTTGATAACATATGTTCTAATATGTTACGTGCAAATATGTTCTTTGGAACGAAAATAACCATTGTCTAAATCTTTGAAATTTGAGTGGATTGACCAAAAAAAAAAGAAGGAAAAAACAAAGTTAGGGTATACTTAAACCTATACCGCTACAACGCATGAAGGGTCTTGGTTTCAGTGCTATTTAGGAAAAACACTGTTTCTTGGTCTACTGGTGTGCAAGGAGGTGATTTGGCCAAGATCATGCTCAACCGCTAGGTTTCTCACTTAATTAATTATATTAATTAAGAATATCCACTTTAAAGAGGCTGGGTGTGCCCCAGGAGTGTCTACCTGCCCAGAGTCGCCCCACGGCCAATGAAACAGAATAAATAATTTTTCTGCCGTGAGCCGGGATCCGAACCTGGGACCTTTAGCTATGGAAGCTCAAGATATCCAAGAGGGGATTTTAATATTGGTAAAGCGCGGGAGACCAATAATCGTGGTTGGAGGGAGGATCGTTGAAATTTATTGTTACAATAATTAGCTTTACATAATCATAATCTGGTGCAAATGTTAATCAGGTGACGTAGCATTCAGCTGAAATAAGGTAGATAATTTAGTTTTAAAGACACAATTTCGAGAGCGAATAATTGTATGGTGTATTTGAGTTTTAAGGCTTAGATGTTTTGTGCCAGAAGTTTGTACACAATCAAGCAACTCCTTTTCAAAATACTATAAAACTTATTGAATATAATACTTAGCAAATACAGTTGTACAGTACCTACAGTACCTTTTCTTTATCAATATATATATTTTTTATTTTTTAATAATTGTAACTTATTAAAAAGGTCATTTTCTGGTCGTTTATAAAGTACATTGGGGAGTGGGCTAGCTCAGTGGTAGGGCACTGAGCTTCCAAGGCAAAGGTCCCAGGTTCGAACCCCGGCTAATGGCAGAAAATTTATTTATCTGTTTCATTGGGCGTGGGGCGACCCTGGGTCGGGAGACCCTCCTGCACACCCAGCCTCTATTAAGTGGTTACCCTCAATTAAATAATTAATTAAGGGGGAAAACCTGGCGGTTCAGCGTGATCTCGGTCAAATCACCTCCTTGCACAACCGTTGACCTAGAAACAGTGCTTTTCCTAAATAGTAATGAACCCCAGACCCTTCATGGGTTGTAGTGGTACAGGTTTTTTTTTATTATTTTTTTATTTATTAAGTACATAGAATGATGGTTTAATTTTAACAACTGATGCGAACTTTGCTAAGCAGTTCTCGATAATCATTTTTTAACAATTATTAGGTATTACTTAAGTTTAACATAATTAAATGACCGCCGGAATGGGTATATTATCTTCCCGTTCTGCCATTTCCTTGCTTGTCGTATAATCTTTCCTAAAATCGGGACTTTTTTTAAAACGCCGCAGGAAGCGGGACTTTCCCGCCAAAAGCGTGACGTCTTGTAACTTTAGGTATACATTCATTGTTTGAATAAATGTACGCACTTAATTTGTTTTACGAGATATCAAACATAAAATCCTATAGTCCATACCTTCCCCTTAACATGAGCTCGGTATTGTATGGTAAGAGACGCTATCACACCACGCATGTGGCTTTGATATATTCCAGATTTCATGGAAAACGATGACACAGGAGCTGCCGTAATCGGAACGATTCATCATCGATACATCGAAGAATGAAGGTTCGATTATAAAGGTTTTGTATAGGGCAGTGTTCTTGGAGCCGACCCGCCATTAGTCAGCTCTGACGCTAACAGGTTCAGTATGGATTTGTGGGGGAGGGGGGCTCCACCCAGTGTTGAAATTCGACCTCAATGAAATTAACACTGATAAATTGCCTCACCTTCTCTCCTAAACCTCTTTTTATCTCCCGTATATAAATCCCTATCGCTCAAACGAAATACAAGAAGTTTCTTCTCTCTTTTTTAAAAATTATTTTAAAATTTCTTAAAATTTCTTTTTTGTGATAAAATCTAGTGATCTAGGCAATGTACCTGGGCATTAACTAAGACATAATCAGCTTGTACAAAAGCTAACGCATTATGGTCAAGCTCCTATTTAGAAGAACTTCGAGTTAATTATTTTTATCATTATAAAGGAAGGAGATGGTCCGGGATTGCGGTCATAAATAGGCCAAATAGTGGTAAAACTATTTTATTGAAAGACCAAAAAAGACTCATTCAAGACTCATGGAAAAATACTCATTTCCGAATCTATCCACATTCACATGGAACAGAATCCTGTTAATCATAAAGTAGACAAAAACTGTATTTCTTCAACATATTTTATTCTATTCTATTATTTATATTTTTATCTACTCTCATTTTTTATTGATTATTCATTTACTTGTTCATTATTCTAAATATTTCCTCTCTGTATGATCTCCCTTTATTTTATTCTAAATTTATATTTACACTCTACATCATGTAACTCACTCAGTATGATCATCCTTTTTCCACTTTGTATTAATTTTACTTATCAACCATGTCTCTTATCTAATATTCAAATGTAATTTTCTTACATATGTATAACCAAATATAATTATAATTATTAATTTTTTTCCCTCTTTATACTTCTAAGTTAGTTCTGCAATGTAAATGTAAATGAAGTTATTTCTATATTTATTTTTTACTTTTGCCAATTTTGGGTTTATTCACTTTGTACTCTTATCTATAGGCTTTCAGTAAAATAGTTTTACCGCTATTTAGTCTATTTATGACCGCTACCCCAGACCATCTCCTTCCTTTATAATGCAACGGTAAACTATTAAATATTCAATTTTTACCATTAATATTTGTATGACTTAAATTATTTAAATTTTTATTTTTCAATTCAATTCTTACGACATATTACGCTCAAAAGCATCACCCTTTGTTGCTTTAGGTTTTTTTTTGCACCTGTACATCACATACAATATATTTGATATTTTCTAATATCAACATAAATATGGATCGAACCATAGGGAGAGAGAAGGGACGATCCTCCCTCTCAATAAAAGTAAAGAGGGGGCGAGAATATCATTTCGCCTCCCCAATATTTCGAATAACAAAAATAAGATAAAAATCAATAACAATCAACATAAATAAATAAAATATGTAAACTAAAATCAATTAATTTTTTTTTGGAAATATCGACTAATGGCTGAGCTATTCTAATCTAAAATCCTATATATCCTAGGATTTTAAGATTCATTAAGGTACATTTTTCCATTTATACGTAAAGATTTTATAATATTTTCCACGGCGAATTTCAAGCATCGCAGACTTGAAAGTTCATCTCATTGCCATGTAAAGTAAAAAGTAAAAATATTTAATATATTCCTTAACACATTTTCAAATATATCCATACGCAAACAAATAAAATAAAATAAAAAACCCTAATATATAATAATAAATATATTTATCGAGTAATTTCACAAATGCCTTATGGCATATTTTGTACATGTGATGTTCGTTAGTGAACCTTCTCTCCGGAATTAGCTTGAATGCGTGAATGGAGAAACCTCCCACTGAAGGTACCCCTAACGTGACTCTTCTTAATGTAGCAGATCCCTGCTCCAGAGGTTTAAATCTCTTGGTTGGATTCTGTGTTAGTAACGTCTGTACAGGAGGATTAGGATATCCAGCTAATGAGTCATGAACTGTTTTGTAATATTTCTTAATTACATCAGTCACATGTGATATTTGTAGGTTTATGAAGAGACTTATTGGTTATGTAGAAGGGGAAATGAGTGATATACCGGAGAAGTTTAGATTTGAAGAATTGAAGCATGCCACGCTTTATCAAAGGCCTGTGAGGCGTCTTAGAAAGCTGTTGTGCGAAATTCCTTCTTTTCTAATGCCACCCTAATATATAAGTTCGTTTTACAATAATTATATATACATGTTAATTATCGTTCATAATTAATCCCCGCCGAAACCAGATTAAAAGGTCTATGGATGGAACTGTGGTATTACCTGCTTGGATGAAGGTGAACTTGCCATTGAACCCCGTCGAGTTCCTGATGTTGACCTCTGTGTGGAACTCCAGTACGATGCTGGGCCCCGAAGAGTAGAGGTTGATGGCCTCACTGCCGCAGAGTCTTCCCAGGGGGTACGACTCCTCGTTGACGGCGCCGTCGGTGCCTGATGGATAGACAACTAGATAGTCCCCCGCTGAGCATCTGTTAACAGAAAATTATGAATGGTAAATAGTTTATGAAAATCAACCAGTGGTGTATTTAGAGTATGACAACGTGCCCAGAGCCTCATTCAAAGTTTGCAATTGAAGCCTCAATACATTTGCAAAGTAGATAGATAGAAATTTATTTGTTTTTGGAGGATTTCCCATACAAATAGAGCCTAGCTTGGCTATAGTAAAATAATATGAACATTGTATAGAATTTTCAATTATATTCAGATGTCCGACAGTGAACATTTCATTCAGTTTCCAATTTAAATGTAGTGAGTGGCTTGAAATGATACAATGGGTGTGGGAGAGTCGAACTGATTAAAATGAACCGAACCAAGCCTTAATCAGCTTAAATTGGACTTCACAAAGCATGTCAAAGCATTGATCAGCTTAAAGATGATGAGTCTAGTGTGTAATGCAGTGTGCTATAGCTAGGCATTACAGTAACAGTTTGACTAAATGCTTAAACTATCTAATTTTTACTGACTTGTCGAATAATCAATACCCAAAAATCAATGAGGCTTCAAGTATCTATTCTGTCAAATACATCAAATAATAAAAATATATTTTTACTTTCACTATTTATACATGAAATATATAGTTAAGAAAAGTATTGCTATCGTGAAATTTTCGAATCTCAGTTTTCAACGGTTTTGAGGTCCCTTGAGTCTAACCAAATCTCACAAAATGGTCTGTGTGTAAACAGTCAAAAACAAAAACGAAAAGTCGTACGAAAGTGAAATTGCATATTAAGTTTTTTATATACCTGAAATGTTTGAGCATTTTTTTTTTAAAATTCGAAATGGAAGTGGCACTTTATATAATCAATTTAACACATTTTTACGTTTTTGTCAAAAACGGCTCTAACGATTTTGATTAAATTCAATATACCATTGTAAAATTAAGGCGTTTTTGATATAATGTAGGTTTTCTTCGCATTGGTGCTCTCTAACACAGCTTAAATGGTTATTTTTTAAAAATAATAAGTTAAAATAAATCGATACACTCAATAAATAACGTAACTAATAGCCCAGGAATGAACCCAAATAATTAAGATATTCAATAAGTTAAAATAAATCGATACACTCGATACAATCGAAATAATTATAGGACTCCTTTTCACCATTATGATTACATTAATTTGTAGTAAAGTATATATAAATAAAATAATGCTATAATATTTCTAAAAATAGTTAAAACTATTAAAAGACAATCAGGGTTATTAAAATAAAAATAAATCAGGAGTGACTTTAGAAATACCGAAAGACTTTTAGAAGACGAAAGATTAACCGAAAAAAGAAGAACCACCAGTTTCGCAGAAAAAATATTGCGGTTGCAGGGCAGGTTCAACTTTAACCATCAGTTACTTAAAACTTAGTTTATGTCATTTATACACCTTTGCTTCTAGGGTTCATATTTATTGGTAGATTAGATAAACTGGAATCGTACTAAGGAAATAGTCTGCTGGAATAGGTCTCGTCTAAGAATTCCAATCTATTTTGATCAAACTAGAATCCTTTGAGCGAACGTTGTACACTTTTCCGAATGCTCAATCTCTTTCAGAGGAATTCTCTATCAAACACTGCACAATTCAAGGAATGCTAAGAATTAGGAATGTTAAAAATATTACTGAATCTTTTAACATACGTTATTGAAGAGGCTTGTTATCATAAATTTGTTCATATTATTCTTAGAAAATGTTAAACTAGAAATTATCCAGATCCTTATACCGTGCACCCTCCCCCCCCACATCCCTATAAATTGCATATCGTTGTGTTCCTTGTAACTATTTATTAAAAAAAAAAGCCAATGTTCCCACAAAAAAAAGTGAACGAACTGCCTCGAAATGGCGTCCAAACATGGCGGATTGATGGCTTTGTCTTTAGGTAGTTTTTTTGTTACTCAGAATCAGCATTTGGCTTGATTTCGTCATAGTTGGTATTACTTTAGTGATTAGTTGGAAAAAATATTAAAACCTAATTGGCTTAGGCAATAAAACATATCAGCAAAGTAAATTTTTTAACAAAAAAATTTACAAGTTGAAAATCAAGCGTCGTTTGTAATTAAACGGCCAAAAATAACGCAAAACGTGCTAAAATAAAACATCTGGAGCATACATTTCTCTTTCTTAAAAACTTATTACTTTTTAAAGTATTTGAAGTGATTCTATAGAAAATGCACTTAAGCGACGGAAAAGCGGTACTGGCGTAGGTGTCTTCAGGCCTCTACCACACCATTCAGTACTCATAAATGGCTTAGTTGTAATGCTATAATAACGTCTTTGTTACATTATATTGATTCTATTAACGAAAAAAATGTTAATACAATAATTTAACTGTAAAAAAAAAATATTTTTTTTTTTTTTAATTTAGCTTCCTTTATTCTATATGAAGGTCTCCTTTGTTCTATATGGAGGGAGGCCTCTATTATAAAAATTATATAATTATAATAATAAAACTTAATTAAAAATACCTTGCTGAATATCTTGAAATTTTTATTTAATGTTTGAAATTTAAAAATTTGTTTTATATATATACTGATTCTTAGAAGTAATTTAAATTGTATACACTTCTCCGGAAATGAGTCATATTAATACCTATTTTATAAACTAAAATAATATTTACCTAATCTGAACTAAATATAATGAATAGGTGATTGTTTAGTAAAATTCATATATCACTATTAAAAAAATCATTTTTGTATCACCACTGTGTATTATATGTGTCTCATTATCTTTGACTAAATTACATAGTTTTTTTAGGAGAAGGGAGATAGGGGCGCTTATGACGTAAATGGCCTTTGATAACAATCGATTCAAATCGAAATGAAGAAAAAATCGATTCAAGAACCTGTTACCAAGGGGATGTGGATTTGGATATGATTTAGAAGGAGCCGAATTGAAACCATGAATCCCCATTAACCAGGTGGGGAGCAGCTCCTATTTATATTAGAGTAGCAGACAGAGCTAGGATGTAGCCTATATATATAGTGTTGATGGATACCGCTCCACATAAAGTAGTGCGCTAACTGATGTGCTCCCACGCACCCGCTCAGAGACAAATTCCCAGCAGACCGACGCCGTATCCATTTGGAGCCGCTTCGAATTGATATATGTCATCCGATTTCTCTTCGCCGCAACTTGCAATCCTCCCTTTATCCGCCCAGTGTTGATTGATTCCCGATATTTCTTATTCCCATTCCGTTCAACGGGAGTGAAGGATGCTGTCATCAGCTGCGATTTGTTCACTGTCAGTGGCAGTGTATGTCGACCATGGCCCAGCTCCACGATAGTCCGACAGTGGTCAATGTGAGGCTATTAATGCGCATTGAAAAATCGATTTTGAGAAAATGTTTCCAACGTATATATTTGAATAATAATGAAATTATATACTCTAGACGTTATAGTCCCTAATATACTTTCGCGCAATCCGTTATCTCAACATAACAAAAAAGAACGCTGTAAATTATTTCACAATGGTTTATTATTTCCAAGTATACACCTAAAGTAACATTACCTTCCTAGTTACAAAGAAAAATAAATAAAAAGTGATTCCAATTATGGGACTAACATTTTTTTTTTTAATCATTAGTAATATGCTAAAAAAAAAAAAAAAAATAGCATTACTTCAGTAACACATTCGAAATTTAAAAACCAAACAAAGAATATAACATTTGGAGTAAAACATATAAAAAAAAAAAAAACCGGAGGCCATATCTTTGCTCCTGATTGTCCGATTTTAACGATTTTTTAAAATGAAATTTCGTAAACTTTTAAAAAAACATAATACAATATCAACAAAAAAGTGTAAACTTTTTGAGTTATTCGGAATTTAATTTTACCATCCCTCGTAACTTTTTTTTCAGCTTCTTTTCGTTGAAGTATGTTATATAAATAAATTTAAAGGGCATCGAGAAAATGACTTTAGCGAAGTTTCATTGAAATCAGTACATTTGTTCAGGCGCTACAGTCTGTAGCAACTCAGGTTTTTCGGCCGCCATTTTGAAAGTAAAAAGCGGATAGTAATGCCGATGAAGGAGGATCATCCTCGAGTGATCTCTGATTTTATATCCAAATTTGAAAAAAATCGGTCCAGTAGTTTCGGAGTAGTCCGGACGGCGGACGGCGGAAGGACAAAAAACTTTTTATTCGTTTTTCGAATTCTATGCATCCTGAAACGTGAAACCTCATATTTGAGAGAGGGTTAATTTTTGAATTTTTTGGTCGATCACAACGGTTGATTATTGAAAATAATAAACCAATAACAACTAAGGTTTGTGCTTCAGACCCCAGAATAGAAGTGTGAAAACATCAAAAAGGAGAGATTAATAATATGAAATATAAATTATAAATAATAGCACATTATAAAGAGGATGAAATGGTAAACATTTCTCTTGCTTATAGTATGTATCAATATTTAAATTATTTCTCTTCATATTTTTTATATATTGTTAATAATGTCAAAATAAAATTTCAATGTTGTAATAATATTACTATTTGTACTATATATTAGCATAAACACGTTATCATTTGGTTTTATATTTTATCTTCTCCCTTCTTTTACTCTTTAACTTACTATTTGAATAATAGCTCATTACAAAGAAGACAAAATGCTGAACATTTCCCTCGCTTACAATATACGGATCTGATTTTTAGTTTCTGAAATATTTTAATCCATATGTGAAAATATATCAACTAGTCGACTCCATCCGACTTTACTTCAGCGTTAACACTTCGGAAATCTGACGGAGCAATCTAATTCCCTCTCCACAAAAAAGTGCATAACACGCCTAAAGAAGTTTTCACGCACACCAAAAGAATATTATAGTTGAAGATTCATTGAAAATTAAATGAGTAAAGAAATAATTTAGACAGTTTTACATAAATCTGGCGATTTTTTAAAATTTATTTAAAAATTTTATGAATTTTCCTCTCATGACTTTTTTAATTATTCATATTAATATGGAACATAGAAACTTAAGAAAGGAAGTAAATTTTGTTTCTTTATGTTCAGCATGAATATGCACATTTTCGAAAATCTTTTTATCGTTAAAATTTTTTAAAAAGAAATATTGTTTTATTTTTTTTTTTAGAATATATTTATTTATTTATAAGTTACACATATTTCTGCATTTCACACGCATTTCTGGCATGCAACAAATTTCCAATCTACTTCTGTATTCAGCAAATATGATATCAAGGAGAACAAAACATAACAAAAAATAAAATAACAAAAATAATAATAATAATAATAATAATAATATATATATATATATATATATATATATATATATATATATATATATATATATATATATATAAAGAAGGAATAAAATGAAAGATAACATAATATCACAAAAGTAGGAGTAAGTCTCTTGGCCAGCTCCTCAGCAGTCTTCTGGGCGGATTATATGGATTTGTGGTAGTAGATAGAGCTTGAGTAAGTGGATTTGAATTTAGAGTCAGTCTGTCATGAAAAATATTAACGCGGTCTGTGACAGTTGCCGTTATGAAAGGAGTGTCAAGGTCATTGTGTAATGTATGGTTTGAAACATAAAAGAGTGCATCTACAATTTTCCGGAGGACTTTTGATTGATATGACTGAATTATATTCATATTTGATGTCTTTGCTGTTATCCATAGCTCCATAAAAGATGACTTTGTAAATAGTTAATTAATTTTATTTTAGGAAAATACGAGAAAATTAAATTTTCTTGTTAACTTTTATACTTGGTTTGCAACTGAAATAGAATATATTTCCTTTCCCAGAATATCGAAATATACTGTCGGTGGCTTCCAAACCAAAAATGGAACTCTTATCGATATACATGTGTATACTGTAAAGGGAGAAGAGAAATTCTCGGAAATTCTGAGGAAAGCTTTGAAATTTTACATTCAATATTGTCATGTTCAGGAATGAAATCTCCGTAACATATCGGAACAGACAAACATAGTTTTTTGCTTCCTTACTGCCGGGTATAAAATATAAAAAAATATTTATAATTCTTCTTGATGAAACCTTTTTCTGTTATAAACTTAAAAAAGTATTACTAAATATACTTTCCAATCCACGCTCTTTGCTTTATTATTCACCTAAGGCACAATAGGAGTCCTGGTTAGCAAAATATAATTGTTGATTAAAACTGTTGGCACTTTTACATACCATTGGAAGAGGGTAAATGTGAAAATATTTTTGTAAAAATAAACTCTTATTAATTGACAACAGTACTAAGGAATGTTAGTAAAATATAAAAAAAAAGATCGGCAACTGAAGTTTATATGATAAAATAATTCCGAGTTCATAGGTGCTGCAAAGGGGGTTCAACTTAAGGATTAATTCACCGCCCTCTCCCCTGGCTGGTTAAAAACCCTGTAGAGCCTTAATGACGAGGAAGTAGAGATGGAATATCGAAAGCCCAACATCGATATTAATAGGGACTTCTAACTATCAGTACCATCAAAATATCGTACTTCAAATATCGATAGGCTGCATTTGTATAATTATTATAAACCTTTTTGAAATATGAATATTGATTCTATAACACATAGGCACATCTGAAAATATGTTATTTTCCTCTTGAAATTAATTAAAGAAATATCAAATTATCTGCTCTCCTTAGTAAAATTAATTTTCTAATAATAATTTATTTACATCCTGCATAGACTTCTTTGACGGTTCCTGGCCTTGGTTTCAGAAGATTCTAACTAACAAATTGAGCTTACTGAGTGAGGAGTAGGCGCGCTATTCAATTCTACTTAAGGATTGCAATCGATAGTCGATATTATCGAAATATTTATATTTTCCTCTCCTACGCACTACATTCTGTATGAAACAGGCAAGGCGAGTATAATTACGCTTTCTGAAAGCAATAGTTTTAATTTTTAAATTAAAATATTAAAATATCGGTCGATAAAATCGAGGATAAAATATCGAATATTGGGAGGATATAACGATATTTCGATAACATCGACTATCGAATTGCCATCCATACGAGGAAAGGGTTGTCAAATGCATATACATTCCCTCATTATGCATTAAGATATTTCTGTAATTTTTTTTTTATTAAAACATCAACATTAACTAGTAAAATGATTGGTACCAGATCCTTCTTCATCTTCGATAGCTCTACAACCCTGGATAGATCTTAGCTCCCTGAACAACAGCTCTCCAAATGTCCTTAGCCATTTTCCTCCTGTGTGTATCTGTTAACCGTCCTCCACATCCTCCAACTATCTTCTTCTCGGCCTTCACCTTCCTCTGACATCATGAATTCTTCCTTTGAGCATCATTTTTGGGATTCTCTCATATGGCATTTGAAGAACTTCAGCCATTCGATCCGCCGTGATTTTATAAAGGTCACAATTTCACTATGATTGAATAAATAGTATAGCTCCTTATTATTTCCAATCCTCCATGCTTGAGTTGTTTCATTGTACAAGGGGCTAAATACTTTTTTCAGGATCTTCTTCTCGAAGACCCTTAACGAATGGTGGCAGGAATCGTCCATGTTTCAAGGATGAATTAAGAAGCTTTAAATTCGCGAAATACGCACGATTAGCTGCCATTATCCTTTTGTGCACCTCGGTCATAATTATGTTTTCATTATTTATTTCTGCCCCCAGATAGGTTTCGAATATAATTCAAGATATTGACGTTTTCGAAAACGTGTTCTTCCACCACAAGGTTATGGGAATTCCAAGAACTTTCTGAAGAAATTGACACGTACTTCGTTTTTAAATCATTTATTTCAAGGCCCATAATTTTACTTTCAGCATAACTGATAGTTCGAAATCCGATGATGCTACACCTTGTTCGTTTGCTACCCATAACTCCACACATAAAATAAAACTACACAAACTAAGCAGCATATACACAGCGGAACTTAGCCCTCCACTTCTGTATGTCAATAACTCCAGCCTCAATAGTCTTAATAACCGATTCCTTGAGTTCATTAAAATGTTTAAATGATATGTACTCAAAACATCCAGTTATCCTTAAAATTCACAAATATCTTCACACTCTGGAAAATTTAGGAAAATTGGTTGGTTTTATATGGATTCCCAGTAACGTGGGTATAGTTGGTAATGAGCTTGCGGATACGTCAGCCAAACAGGCACTCGCGCTTCCACACCGAGGTACTCCTATCCTGATCTCTCCAGAAATGAATTTTCCTCTCAAAAAAGAAATATTGGATAGTTGGCAGTCTATGTGGAACGAAAGCCCACCTAGC